ATTCACATCATTTGTACAACTCTCCTTACTGATGCCATTTTTTGGAATTTCTGTGACCTAAATGGTTCGCGAAAATTAATATTTTATTATATATATAGTAACAAGTACATACATGGGTGATATCACTGAATTTATATAAATTACCATGCAACTAAAGCATACGAAACTTTAATGAATATCGAAGAACTGATAAATATAACTTTAATACTTTCTGGGATATAGTAAATTACATATCCGGAAAATAGAAGTACAAATGTATAGAATAAACGTATTATCTTAAGAAAGTTCAGTAATTTTGACTTTAAAAGGGCATTAGCTACGAGATATAAAAAAAAATAAAATATGATTTTTCATTGTTCAATTTTTAGTGAAAGTGAAATATTGAAATAATAATTCACTTTTAGCAGCCAGTTTGGTTCCATTTTGTCAAAATAAGCAAAAAAACATCGCTGATGAATTATTCACTTCCAAGTGAATAATTCGACCTCATTGAATCCGTATTCATGTGACCTTCAATTTAACCCATTAGCTAGAGTTAGGTTACGCATGAATTAGGCGTGTTCAGTTATAAAAAGGAAAAGAATGTCAACATTGAAAGTGAAACAAGAGTAAACCATTTGATTGACTGATGCGATCCACAAACACTCTTTCTTAAACAGGTAAATACGATGATTTACATATATTTGTAACCTATAATATGAAATCAAACAGACCTAGAAAAATCCAATTGCACGATTTCGCTATCTATGTATATCTATATTTATGTTTACATCGGGTTATATCGGCAGTCTTCGGAGGTCACCTCGATGGTTAATTAGATGGCGTCTAGACTAAAATACACAAGAAATTCTGATACATATTATCGAGCCCATGCATTGTAAATTGTTTATTTTAAACGTTTTATAAATTGGATATACGTTTGAGTATGTTATGAATCAATTATGAAAATTTGAGTCAAATCGGTGAACATGAATTTGACAGCTAATGCCCCTTTAAATTATTATTTTTTTAAATCCTGTACTACTTTTTGTTATCATATATTATTACAATTTCCATTAAATTGAATTAAAATTTAAAGGGGTCACCAAATTAGTTATCGTTAAATGATAAAGTAAATTATTAAATAAACTAGATCTTTTCGATGTACACTTGTAGTTTGTGTACGTCAACGGAAAACTAATAGTTCGATAAACTTTATAACAAAGACGGAAGTACAAAGACGGAAGTGTACTTCTATAGTATTTTACAATTTTATAGGAGGATTCATCGAATTCACCAACAAGGAAAGTACTGTAGATCATGCAGATGTTTATCACTTTTCTCATGTTAAGTAGGTGAACATATAGAGATTGAAACGCAGAATGTCACGACCGATGCAGGAAATAAGTCAATGAGACAGCAATCCAACACACAACATCTAGAGGTCAGTAAGTAGCCTTCAGAAATAGACAGGAGTCTTTCAATATGTCGATCTCTAAACTGTCTCAAAAAATTCCGAATAAATTGAACAGAATATTATTAATATCACGATACCAAATGGGCAATATAAGAAATAGGAAATGCGGTGTATAAGTCTAAATTGAAAACATATATATATATATATATATATACATAATTACTCTAAATATCAGCACAACAATGTTAAATCTGCAAATTTGCGGAAGCAAATTTTTGTTCTTCCCTCGCCGGGATTTGAACTCATGCTCTCGAGATATCGAGACAACATCGCCTGCACTCGGTCCAGCGCTCTAGACCACTCGGCCACCTAGACTGAACTTTAAAATTGAGCTTTCGGTGGCCTAGTATTTCCTTTCCTCGTCAGTAGAATCTAGAGTTGTAACACAGTACATGATATATTAGGCATGAAGATGGAATTGATTACAGATTAGCTAAATTATCGTAAGATGCAGTCACAGAAATAAGTATTTAATAAGTACGTCTAAACAAGTGAGAACTCTACGACAGATCCATCCATTCACCAGTAAAGGTGATACACGACGGAAAACACATATTATATTCACAATTACTCTAAATATTAGCACAACAATGTTAAATCTGCAAATTTGCGGAAGCAAATTTTTGGGATTCGAACTCATGCTATTGAGATATCGAGACAACACCGCCTGCACTCTGTCCAGCGCTCTAGGCCACTCGGCCACCTAGACTAAACTTAAAAATTCAGATTTCGGGGGCCTAGTGTTACCTTTTATTCGTCAGTAGAATCTAGAGTTGTAACACAGTACATGATATATTAGGCATGAAGATGGAATTGATTGCCGATTAGCTAAATTATCTATCGTAGAGGATCGTAAGATGCTGTCACAGAAATAATTATTTGATAAGTACGTCTAAACAAGTGACAACTCTACGACAGATCCATATATATATATATTATTCTCGTAAGCGGCAAAAGTGCAATGGTATTGAGACATGTAAAATAGATTACATAATATAAAATACACTCTGATTTAAATACAGATCCTGAGTTCACGCTTTGTTTTCGTGTCACAGGGTCTGCATTTCAATCAGGTGAAATGATATAAACATGATAAAGTGGTTACCTAGGAAATTTTAGACATTTATTAAATATTCTTGTATAAGTTTGCACAACTTGTTCAGTTCGGGCGGATTGTAGCTCTTCATATGATCTTGAAATTTTAGAATATATAGTCTGTTAACAATGTTTACGAAACAGTGCTTTAAAACCTGTTTTCTACTTTCGTCCATAGAATATGATCACTCTTGTAAACTCGGCCGATTCCGTTCCTCCAGAAGGAGAGTAGCGAATTCACCCGAGGATTGCCGATGGAGAATTTGCGAAAAAGCAACGGGATAAGTTTTTACATAAAAAACCAAATGTGGTTTTCTCTCTGAGTATTGTGCCATCTCTACCGATTTCGACACGATTTATAGTGTTCAAAAGTTGTATATCTACAAAAAGTAGCAATTTTATGTTTTTGTCATCTAAAATACTTAAAGCAGTTTTCAGAATTAGTTTGATTTTAAATAATCTTTAATAGTCGCATACCACGTCTGTCTAAACTGAATTTGACAGAATTATAAAACCAGTCACTACTCATGGATTTTTTAGAGTTCCAAATATCTATTAGTCCACAATAATCAAGAACTGATTTAACATTATTTCAACTAGCTATGTTTTCATTGTTATTATAAGTAACTAGATTGTATAAAATAACAGTAAATTTCTTTTCTTTTCCGGTAACAAGTTTTGCCCAGTATCTAATAGTTCGAAGTTTGATAAAATTATCCAGCGGGATATATGTATCGATCAATATAAAAAATAAGAAGATGTGGTGTGATTGCCAATGAGACAGCTTTCCTCCGGTGACCAAAGAACGTGGATGAAAGCAACTATCGATAACCATAAGAACCATAAAAAAAAGTTAAAACCAAACACTTTTTCATTAGATAGACCAAATAAGGGAGGAGATATTCGGATCTCCTTGATTAGACGGAAACGCGATACCTTTAAATTAATTCTGAAATATTTTACCATGCGAAGCAATGTCTGGCGATATATTATAAAATGTCGTATCATTGAAGTATATGGTCATACAAAGGAAAACAAATCGGTGTTTAATACAGATTAATGAAGAAAAGGGAATGCGTTTTAATAATAAATGTATTAGTATTGACTTTAAACACCCATCTAACAATATGTACCCAAAAGCGAAAGTATGGCAATATGATTCGGCGATCGGTGCTCGCAGGGTCGGATCCAGCGATTTTTAAAAGGGGGGTTCCAACCCAGGATAAGGGGGGGGGGGGGTCAAACCATATGTCCCCATTCAAAAGCATTGATCGTCACAAAAAAGGGGGGTTCCAACCCCCCCGGAACCCCCATCCCCCCTCCCCCGAATCTGCCACTGGCTCGAGTACCAGTACTGTAATTTTATTCAATTCCGATCCTGATCATTCATATATGATTTATTCTCCTCTCCGAAACATGTTCTCACTTGTATAAATCATTAAAGACAATAGAACCTTAGCCATAGAAAAGTACTCTTAGATTTTCTCACATTCAAGCACATCATTTTCCTCCAGATTTGTAATCAATTTTCCTATATCATTAATTTATGTACAAATTCAAGCACTTTGTACATAAAACAATTACATGAAATAAAGAGAGGGGAAATTGAATCTACCAGATGATCGATTGTGCACAAAAGAATAAGTGAAAATTTACCAATTAGGAAAATAAGTGTAGAGGGGCAGATAAGAACAAGCATACATAGTTAAGGGAAATTTATGAAATGCTAATAAAAAATCCTCAACATAAAAAAATAAAATAAAAGGGGGTGCCAATGTCCCAACGCCTGTCTCCGCAGAGGACTCTTTAATTTGCAGACGACTTTTTGATTTTTGACAGTATCATATATGAATATAAATATTTGAAATTCATCTTCATTGAAATAAACAACTCATTTACCAATTAATTTGAATGAGCAATGCTAGTCAAACTTCGTAGAAGGCTTTTTATAATTCCCATATGATCCGCTGGTGGCTTTTGAAAGAACTTGTTGGTAATCTTTATCGAAGAACTTATTGGTAATTTTTACCGAAAAGAAAAATAACAAATTATTAGATCGGAGTGTTCATTGTTTAAGCCTGCATTTTTTTATAGTAAAATGGCACACCATAAAGATGCTCGATTTTATTTATAAAATACTATTATTATAACTATTGTTGTTAATGCTGTTACATGCAATAATATAAGTGATGTTTTTTGTTAATATCTGTAGTTCCCGAAGAAACGGCTATTTAATAAAATTTGATATAAACATGCATGTGTATTATGCAGGTTCCAGCCCCGGCCGGGGAGGAAGTAAAGAATCAAATCTACTCTAACACTGTTAGGTTGATTTTCTAGGCACTTTATAATATAAATGTATATATATATATTACCTTAAGCAGCTGAATTCGTGGTCTACACAATTTGCCAGAAGCCAAAATTAGCAAAATTAGTTGTTTTTTCTTACCATGTGCATAATGTTTTATTATGTCAACAGCTTCAGATATCAGGAAACAAAAAACAAATATCGGAAGTAACTGCATTCTTGTATAATGTGTTGTATTTGTTTACGTCATTATCCATTAGAGATTCAATTAACGAATGAGAGCTGTCATTTTACGGCTAAGAAAGCCGATCGAAGCCGCTCAAGGTCAACTTTGCCTGAAGATTTACAACTTTAGTTTTTGCCCAAACATAATTCAATTTAAACTGGAAACTAACAAATATAAAATTTATCATTTGTGTTACGCAAATACCGAAGCACTGTGGGATAATAACATGGGCTCCACAGTTCCTAAGGATCCCGGACCCCACGTATCTTCATCCCAGATCCGTACCGACGGAGCTTGGAGCCCTATCATTGGAGCCCGATGCCCTATAAGTGGAGCACAGAGACCCAGAAAAATCCTCAAAGGAACCCGGAGCTCATAGTGTGGATAAAATTAGGATGGAGCCTGGAGCCCAATGATGAAATTAGGATGGAGTCCGGAGCGCAGAGACCGTGTTATCTTCCAAAACACTGACTTCTTTCAAAGGCAGGAAACCTGAATTTCATTCACATTAATTTGATAAGACATAAATTTTATTTAAAAGAGGAATCCACTCCAAATAACTTTAAAAGACATTTATTTCATTCAACTATTTAGATGTAAACTGTACAATCTGGAAGCACAGACATTATGAACATGTCCTTCTTGTAGATCTTTAATAAACATTGTCAGTGCTAATATGGAGATGTGTAAAAAGAGAGGCGAAAGATATCGGAGGGCCATCCAAACTCATCAATCGAAAACAAACTGACAAAGCCATGGCAAAATAAAAACGACCATGACAAACAACAGTATACAAATCACAACATAGAAAACAAAAAACTGAGCAACACGAACCCCATTAAAAACCGGGGCAGGTCTCAGGTTAAAATATACAATCTTGGGTCAAAAGTGTTTCATTTATCGTAAATTTCCCTATTATTTCATATAAAAATACATTTTTAATGAAATTATTATTCTACTGCAGATTTTCTTGGACAAATTGAATGATATTTTCTTTTAATTAAATAAGGATGAGGATGTAAACAACTATACCATATGTCCTTCAACAATGAGCCATGTCCTTTACAAAAGGACGAGGATGCAAACAACTATACCATATGTCCTTCAACAATGAGCCATGTCCTTTACTAAAGTACGAGGATGTAAACAACTATACCATATGTCCTTCAACAATGAGCCATGTCCTTTACAAAAGGACGAGGATGCAAACAACTATACCATATGTCCTTCAACAATGAGCCATGTCCTTTACTAAAGTACGAGGATGTAAACAACTATACCATATGTCCTTCAACAATGAGCCATGTCCTTTACAAAAGGACGAGGATGCAAACAACTATACCATACGTCCTTCAACAATGAGCCATGTCCTTTGCTAAAGTACGATGATGTAAACAACTATACCATATGTCCTTCAACAATGAGCCATGTCCTTTACAAAAAGACGAGGATGCAAACAACTATACCATACGTCCTTCAACAATGAGCCATGTCATTTACCAAAGGACGAGGATGTAAAGAAATGTCCTTTGGTAAAGGACGAAGATATAAACAATTATACCATACGTCCTTTAACAATGAGCCATTTCATTTACTTTACCAAAAGACGAGGATGTAAACAACTATACCATACGTCCTTCAACAATGAGCCATGTCCTTTACCAAAGGACGAGGATGTAAACAACTATACCATACGTCCTTCAACAACGAGCCATTTCCTTTACTAAAGGACGAGGATGTAAACAACTATACCATATGTCCTTCAACAACGAGCCATTTCCTTTACTAAAGGACGAGGATGTAAACAACTATACCATACGTCCTTCAACAATGAGCCATTTCCTTTACTAAAGGACGAGGATGTAAACAACTATACCATACGTCCTTCAACAATGAGCCATTTCCTTTACTAAAGGACGAGGATGTAAACAACTATACCATATGTCCTTCAACAACGAGCCATTTCCTTTACTAAAGGACGAGGATGTAAACAACTATACCATACGTCCTTCAACAATGAGCCATTTCCTTTACTAAAGGACGAGGATGTAAACAACTATACCATACGTCCTTCAACAATGAGCCATTTCCTTTACTAAAGGACGAGGATGTAAACAACTATACCATATGTCCTTCAACAAGTAGCCATTTCCTTTACTAAAGGACGAGGATGTAAACAACTATACCATATGTCCTTCAACAATGAGCCATGTCCTTTGCTAAAGTACGATGATGTAAACAACTATACCATATGTCCTTCAACAATGAGCCATGTCCTTTACCAAAGGACGAGGATGCAAACAACTATACCATACGTCCTTCAACAATGAGCCATGTCATTTACCAAAGGACGAGGATGTAAAGAAATGTCCTTTACCAAAGGACGAAGATGTAAACAACTATACCATACGTCCTTCAACAATGAGCCATTTCATTTACTTTACCAAAGGACGAGGATGTAAACAACTATACCATACGTCCTTCAACAATGAGCCATGTCCTTTTCCAAAGGACGAGGGTGTAAACAACTATATCATACGTCCTTCAACAATGAGCCATGTGCTTTACCAAAGGACGAGGATGTAAACAACTATACCATACGTCCGTCAACAATGAGCCATGTCCTTTTTGGTTATATATATATCTATATATATCTATTTTACATAAACAACCAGTGTTATTAAAACTATTGACACTGACGAAGGCTATTTGTTCAGCCGAAATATTTTGTCACACGATTTTAAAACATCATCTTTGTATATAACCATCTTATAAAATATTATTAGTACCGTTGCGCAAATCTATAAACTTTTATAAAAAAAAATCCTTTATCTGTGCAGTATCGCCTATTCTAGACGATCTGGTACATTCTAAATTTGCTGGTTGGTCCTGTTTGTAGACAACTGTATACACAAACGTATGAAAGGCCATCGGAGTGACTATAAATGTAAGCCAGACCTTCCTCTCGATCGACATTTGAGATCTCCTGACCACACTAAGGCAGATGTCAACCAACTGACTATTACCATCATTGACCATAACACTGCTTGATTCACTCGGAAAAGATTTTGGATAAGAACATTAAAAACGTTGCCACCAAATGGGATTAATGAAAAGGTGTAGTTCTAATCGCGCGGTGCTATTTATTTGGGTTGAATACTACGCAGTCTCTGTTGTAATTCCTATACCTTCGTCAACCTTAAAATTCTAGAATTAAACCAGTTTAAATAGCACGGTGCTATCTATTTGGGATGTATAAATACACAGCCTCTGTGAAATTACTTAACATTTTTTTTGAAAATTTAAAATTATACCAGTTTAAATCGAACTTTGCTATTCATTTGAGATGTATAAGTATACAGCCTCTTCGTCTTATAACCGGGGGAAACCCCAACTTATTCGAAAATATGTTAAGTTCAACAACTGGTGATGTGATTTTATATGAATATAGCTTATTAATAACAAGTCAATACTTTTATTTTTTTTCTATATTTTCTACAGGTTAGATTCTCATAAAAATTTTGAACACGATTACCGTACTCAGACTCAGAAATGAAGCAATAAAAATATGGGATTTGGTGTTTCGAACACAATTTGTGAAATCAACCAATCAAAATACGGGATTTGTTGTTTCGAACATAAATTTTGTACTCCGATTACTTAGTAAAGTTTTATGACCGAGAGCACACTTTACATTTTACCATACTTGGTCCATTCACAAATCTACTACCGTTATTTCAATGCCAGTCATATTTGAAATATTCTACAACACACTTTCTAAAACAATATAGGGAAGTACACGCTGATTTCGTACATTTAGAAGCATTCCTTTGCACGGTTTTTCCAATTTAGACATGGATGTGATCGTTGATAACTCTGCATTGTTCGTCTGTTATTGCCTTGATCAACATTCCTTACATTGAACTTCAACCATTAACTATCATTTTCAACTTATCATAAGTAATTAGAAAGTTTAAAGTGATTGACATCGTTTGGTGATACAATGTTTCCATTACTGTATATACATGTGGCTGTCTTGTCACTTTTATTTCCAAAACAGCCACCTTTCAATTTGTGAAGGTTGTATTTGCAAACAATTACATTTTTTAAAAAGAATATGTGTAGACATAAAGAAAATGTCCGTGGTAATTTGCCAATGGACTCGGGAATTGAGGCGAAGGCCGAATAGTTCATATATATCACAAATATATATAAATATTAAACAGAATGACAATTGTGAAATGTGTATATCATTCACTGGGTCATTTTCAAAAAATGTCGAATTTTCAGTACACCCATGCTAAAATATTTATTTCTAATTGAAATTTCAGTTGGAATTGTTTAAATGAAAGCTTGTAGGATTTATGATTCAGAACATTAATAATAAACACGATTTACATCTGTTTTGATAAGATTAAAATGTATTTAAGTCCGATTTTTGGGTAATTTGTGTGCGTACAGTGTCAGAGTAACACATTTCAAATGATTTTTTTTTCAATTTTCTAATCGCCGTGATGTCTGCAAAAGGGACTTTTTAAGATCGTTAATAATAACTCTAACGAAAAATCGTAGCTTCTTTAATATTATATGTAACATTTTATCTACAAACTAAGTTCAATCACTGCCTGTAACCGAGTACGGCAGAAAGTGATTTTACCCCGATTACAGTACTGATTTTCTCCGATTGATTACTGATTTTCCCCGATTTTCCTATGTAGAGAACATCAAAAGGGTAATTATATATGAATAAAAGAAAATCTGTGTCAATAATTATGCAACCTTCCTTTTCATTCCTACATTCTTATCATTGACCTCCCATGGGCAGTATGGATTTTGATGACCAATCCTAAAAATAGAAAGTTTTCTGAAGCAAGGAAGTCATTGGAAGTGATTTTCTTATATTATTCAAATATCTAAAAGTGTTACTCTAATTATAGAATACTTATTCAAATGTGCA